CATTCTTCTAAACCCTATTCTTCATATGTCAAATCTGCAATTTCAGGAATCAGTTTGGTAAGCCCTTGTTGCAAACCCTGCATAGCCAGGGTATCCTTTCTCAGATAAGGAGACCAAAACTGCATCTAGCACTCCAGTTCTGGTCTCACCAAGGTTCTGTAAAGTTGCAGAAAGACATCACTAGTCCTGTATTTGAATCCTCTCACTGAAGGCCAACATACCTTGCTGCACCTGGACACTTGTTTTCAACAAGTGGTGAACAAGAGCACCCACATCTCATTGCACTTCCCGCTTTTCCAATCTTATCATCATTTATATAATCTGTGTTCTTGTTTTTCCCACCAAAATGGATAAACTCTCATTTATCCATACTATGCTTCACCTTCCATAGAGTTACCCACTTACTCAACTTGTCCAAAACATCATTGCATCCTCCTCATATCTCACTGTCCCACCCAGGTCTGTGTCATCTGCAAATGTGGAAATATCACATTTGGTTCCCTCATCTAAAACTTTAACGTATATTGTGAATCATTGGGGTCCAAGCATTGATCCCTGTGGTACCCCATAAGTCACTTCCTGCTGCTCAAAAATGTTTATTCCTGCTCTTTGTATCCCATCCTCTTGTCTATGTCATACATTATCCCCAATCCTATGCACTTTAATTTTATATGCTAATCTCTTACACGGGACCTTATCAAAAGCCATCTGAAAGTCCAAGTAAACCACATCCTATGGCTCCTCCTTATTAATTCTACTGGTCACATTGTGATGATTTCCCATCTGTAAATCTATGCTGACTGCCCAATCCTGACACTGTTTTTCAAGTGCTTTTCAGAGTTTGAGTGAAGATTTGTGGCTTGGGTGCTGGTTGTAGATGTTGGTGTGTTTGCTGAGTTGGGAGATTTGATAGCAGACATTTCGTCCTCTTACTAGATGATATCCCCAGTGCTGTGAAGCCTCCTGTGAAGCGCTGTTGTCCTGTGCCAGTTCAAATTCATATGGTCTGGTTTTTGATGCTTCCGGTAGGTGCCAGTTCCAGCTGTGCATTGTAATGGTCAGTATATCAAGTCTAATTCAATGTGTTTGTTGATGGAGTCTGCGGATGAATGCCAAGCCTCCAAGAATTCTCTGGCTATCCTCTGTTTGGCCTGTCCAATGATAGTAGTGCTGTCCCAGTTGAAAGTGTGTTTATTCTCATCTGTGTGTATTGAAATCAAGGACATCTGGTTGTGTCGTTTAGTTGCTAGCTGGTGTTCATGCATGCAGGTTGCTAGTTGTCTGCCTGTTTTGTCCCACGTAGTGTTTTGTGCAGTCTCAACATGGTATCTTGTAGACCACATTTGTCCTGAGCATGGTATCTATTGGGTCTTTAACTCTGGTCAGTTGCTGTCTTAGTGTGGCTGCCAGTTTGTGTGCTGTCGTGATTCCTGGCGGTCTGAGTAGTCTGGCTGTCAGTTCGGAGGTGTTTGTTTTTCATATAAGATACCATGCGAAACCTCCCAGCTCGGTGAACACCCCAACATCTACAACCAGCACCCGAGCTACAAATCTTCACTCAACGCTGAACACCTATGGACGTGAGACGCTAAAGCAAACGAGGAAGTGGAAATCCTGTGCCAACCAACTAAGCACCACATATGAACAACTCAGATTTCTCATGAGTGCCACAAAAAAACTACTACCACCAAGCTTAAGGTACAGATTACCAGTTAATAACCCACAAGCCAGAGAAACAGCCAGACAGAACAGCCACAGGATGATACAAGTCATGATCACAGATGCCCATAACAGATTCCACAAGTACAAACAAGAAATTGTGTGCCAAAAGTCGTTAATTTCCAAAGTGACCAATCAGAAGTGGACTTCGAGAATCGAACGGGCCATCACACTAACACAGAACTGGACCACACACTAAAAGAGAATAGCACTACAGAAAAAAAATGACCAAATTGACCAACAACAGAGGGGACAACATGACTTACAAATGGATAAGAAACCTCTCCAACAGACAGCTCACAGATACAGAAAAAACAGTACTAATCAAAGCACTGAACTACAACCACTGAGATGCTGATAAAACAGACCTCCTTGCAGCACTAGAATCCACACTCAAACGACAGACTAAACGGAGAAACACAAAACTGTCAGACAGACCGTTGTATCCCTACTGACAAGGAGAACACAAACGAACACACTTAACAAAGATGAAAGGGATGTTCTGAAGAACCACAAAAAGAACAAAAACATCATCATTGTTTGTGCTGATAAAGGCGGAATAACTGCCTAAAACAGACTACATACAAAAACCTGAAGAATTACTTGCAGATACACAAACCTACCAACAGAGGGAGTGGGACCCCACACTGCAGCTAACAAACAGAATAAATACACTACGGAACCCACACAAAAAAGGACAGATAACAAAAACAGAATTAAAGTGGATGAAACAGAAAGGCAGCAATACTCCCGGGTTCTACACACTGCCCAAGGTCCACAAGCCTGACATACCCCTCAGACCAATTGTGGCTCTACCAGGAACCCGTCACACAAATTAGCAAAGGAACTACAACAAAAGCTTAAACACCTAATCAGTAGTCCAAGACACTCCATACAATCAACACAAGACTTCCGGAACAACATCAAGACCACTAAGATAGACAAAGAAGAAGTGATGATCTTGTTTGATGTAAAAACAACAAACAGAAACGTAGCCAAAGAAACCATATCCAACCTACTAGACGACCACAACAGACGACAAACAGATCAACAAGCACTGCATACTCAAAATGCTGGACTTATGCTTAAATTAACAACACCCTTTACATTCAATGGCAAGATATATGAACAGATCAATGGGACTCCCATGGGCTCACCCGTCTCTGGACTGATAGCTGAGGCAGTCATGCAAAGACTGGAACAAACGGCACTCCCACAGATCCAACCCAAGCTCTGGATCAGATACATGGATGACACTTTTGTAATTATGAAAAGAACAGAAATTCAGAACACCGTCCGACTCATGAACACCATACCCACAGGGATCAAATTTACTAGAGAAGAAGAAAACAAGAACAGATTCCCATTCCTGGACGTGATGGTGTAAAGAAGAGAGAACGGTGACTTCACAACAAAAGTATACAGGAAATCCACACATACTGACCAGGTCTTAAACTACCACAGCAACCACCCCAACTCTCACAAGAGGAGCTGTGTTTAGGACCCTGTTTAAAAGGGCCGCTACACACTGTAGCACACCCGATCTGCAGGAGGAAGAAGAACACCTCTACAAGGTATTTTACCAGGAATGGATACCCCTGCAGCTTCATCCACAGATGCCTAGCCAACAGACAACACAACCACAACACACCAAAACTGAAAACAATAACCACCATATCATATATAAAAACACCTCAGAACTGACAGCCAGATGACTCAGACCACTACGAATCAGGATAGCACACAAACCGGCAGCCACACTAAGACAGCAACTGACCAGAGTGAAAGACCCAATAGATACCATGCACAGGGCAAATGTGGTCTACAAGATATCATGTGGAGTCTGCACAAAACGCTATGTGGGACAAACAGGCAGACATCTAGCAACTCGCATCCACAAACACCAGCTAGCAACTAAACGACACAACCAGATGTCCTTGATTTCAATACACACGGACAAAAACCACACTTTCAACTGGGACAACACTACTATCATTGGACAAGCCAAACGGAGGACAGCCAGGGAATTCTTGTAGGCTTGGCATTCATCTGCAGACTCCATCAACAAACACGTTGAATTAGACCTGATATAGCGACCATTACAATGCACGGCTGGGACCGGCACCTACCAGAAGCAGCAAAAACTGGACCATGTAATTTCGAACCTGCACAAGACAACAGCGCTTCACAGGAGGCTCCACAACACTGAGGATGTCACCTAGTAAGGGGATGAAACATCTGCTATCAAACCTTCCAGCTCGGCGAACTCGCCAACATTTGCTCTTCAATCTCTTATAGTGGATTCTAGCCTCTTCATACACCTGATGTCAACTAACCAGTCTATAATTCTGTTTTCTCTCTAATTTCTTATGAATAATTACATTAGCTAATCTTTAATCTAGAGGAAGAATCACAAGCTGCATGAAATTTGTGAAAGTCACCATTCAGAGGGAATTAGGGTGTAGGTGTACAAAGAACACAAAGCTAGATTTCAAACATATATTGAAAGACTAGTTAGGAAGACAAATAATATGTTGGCCCTAATTGCAAGGGGATTGAGTAAAATAATGAGGTTTTGCTGCAAATGTCCACAACTTTGGTGAGATCACATCTTGAGTATGGTGTGCAGATTTAGTTTCATATGATTAGGGAGCATTTTGACCCTCAAGCCTATTCTGCCATTTAGCAAGATCATTGCTAACTTGAAAGTAATTTTAAATTCACATTCCTGACTATCTCCGATTAATCTTTCACTCCCTTTCTTGCCAATAATCCGTCCACATTTACTATAAAGCATTCAAAGACCTATTCTACATGAATAGGAAAGGTTTGGGGGGATATGGGCCAGGAGCAGGCAGGTGGGACTAATTTAGTTTGGAATTCTGTTCAGCATGGACTGGTTGGACCAAAGGGTTTGTTTCTGTGCTATATGACTCTCTGACCTTTACAAAATGGAAGCTCCAAAATTTCATGATCTTTATGGAGGAAAAAAAAAACACCTCATCTGTGCTTTAAATTGGTAGTCTTATATTTTTGAACAGTGACCTCCTGAATAGAAGTATAGAATCTGGAGTAGGCTATTCTGCCCATTGAGCCCACTTTGCCATTAAGCATAATCATGGCTGAAAAGTGGAGCTGAATCCAAAGATTATATGATTATTAACCATAGTTGTGTTGAATGATACAGCAGGCTTAAGGGGCCTGCTTCTATTTCTTAATGTTATTCTGTCTCGTAATCCTTACAAACCTATCTTTTATGAAGCTTACTGTTTCTATTGCAGGAAAAATTGGAAGAGGCTATCAGCTTCCTCCAGTCCCAAAAGGAGAAGGCCTGTCAAAGCCAAAGCCAGGAAGAGGCAAAGATTTGTAAAGTAAGGGTGAGTGTCATATGGTTTGTCTCATCCATTGTCTTTCTCGGTAGAGGATGTCATGACTTTTGAAAGGAACATGAATATTCCAGTATAGTAATGTCTTTATTTAAAAATTGTAACCTTACTGTGGCACTCCAGCGTTTATTGAATTCATAAAATTTTCTTAAGACGAATGTGTTTTTGAAGGTGGTAAGACAAGTTTAAAAAAAGTGGAATCCTTAGCTTTTTAAGCAGAGTTATCAAGTGCAGTTTTGGACTAAAATTGAGAAGACTCAGTATTATTCAAATGCTGAAAAGTTTGGAGAATGGGAGGTCAAAAGCGGTTTAGAGATCCATGTCCATATTTTTAAATAATCAAAAATCCACAAAAAAAATTCAGTGGAATATTGGCCTTTATATCTGAAAGGTTATACTATAAAGAAAATTTGGCTCCAGTTATGCAAAACCATAGTTAGACCATAACTGGGGTGATCTGTGCAGCTCTGGACATCACTGTTTAGAAATTATATATTGAATTTGAAAGGAGTATAGTGTACACTCATCACAATGTTACTCTAAGGATATTGAATCATTGAGTATTTAGGATTTTGATAGTATAATAGAAATTCTTTCCGCTGGTGTAGTGGTTAGGACAACAGGTCATAAATTGAAAATCAGACCAGATTATTCAACGTAGAATAACAACAAGTTGTGTTTGTATAGTCCTGTATGAAAATCCCAAGGTGCTTCACAGGGACATCCTAATGCACGATTTGAATATAGAGGTACAAAAAGGATAATGAAGCAGATGATCAATTGCTCAGTGAAAGGAGCAGATTTTAAAAGGCAACTATAGAGGTAGTGAGATTTGTGGAGGAAACTCCAGAGCCAGCATTAGAGGAGTTCAGACATCTCAGAGGATCTTGGGGCTGAAGGCAATTATTGAGATAGAGTGTGCCAATGCCAATGAGAATTTAAAACCACAGATAATATTTTAAAATCAAGGCATTGATTAATCTGGTGCTAGTGGAGATCAGTGAACATAATTGGTGGGACAGTGGACTTGGTGCAAGGGATGACATGAGCATCAGAGTGATGGGTGACCTCAGGTTTGCAGATGGCAACATGTGGGAAGCCAGAAAAAAAAGTATTTTGGAATAATAAAGATTAGAGGTTACCAAGGTGTGATTGTATGTTTTAACAGGAGGTGAGTTGAGGCAGGTGTGATGTGAGTGGCATGGCCGGAAATAGGTGGCCTCAGCAAACCTCTGCATTGGTAAATGGAAGTTCAAGTTGGAATCAAGTACAGCACTTGAAGTTGCAAACAGACCAGTTCACACTAGACATTTGCCACGAAGAAGAATAGTTAGCAGCTAGGGAAGGGAATTTGTAAAAAAAAAGGTTAAACCCAATGGCTTTGGTCTTCTCATTATTAATACATGGATATTTCTGTTTATCTAGTCTGATAATTTACAGACAGTGGAAAAATCAAGAGAGGTGATGATGAGGTAGAGCTGAGTGTTGTCCAAATGCATGTGAAATCTGGTACTGTGTTTTTGTATGATTTTATCAAGGGACAGCATGAGAATTAGATGGAGAACAAGGATAGATTCTTGTCAGGGCACTAGAGATACCAGTGCAGGAGCAGAAATTGCAAGTTGTATTCTAACTATGATATGCGTGAAACCAGTCAAGTGTAGTCCAGCCTAGCTAGCTGTCCAAGTCAAAGAGGATGGTGTGGTCAACAGTGTCAGAGGCTGCAGATGTATTGAAATGGAGGAGTAAGGGTAGTTTATTTTTATTGGAGACTTGGCTGAAAACAAACCTAATTTGAGTGATTCAAGCATGGATTTCTAGGAGAATGGGCACTATTTCGTGGGAATAACAATGCATTCAAGGACATTGGAGATGAAAAAGCAGTTGGAAATGGAGTGATAGTTTACTCATGAAGAGGGAAAGGGTTGTTACTTTATTTGACAAGTGGGTAATTACAACAGATTTGAAGGAATTAAAGTACCTGAGGAGACAGCAGTGTTGGAGCCAGGACAAAGTTGAGTAATGACGAACTTTTTTGGACGAGAATTGAGAGATTGGTTTCTTGGATAAGCTGTATGGGTTTCCTGGACAAGAGGAGCTTGGAGAGGCATGAGTGGAGATAGGAGACAAACTGGAGAAGAATCAAAGTTGAGAAAGGGTGAGAGGAGCCTCAGAGAAAGATTGGCCTCGGGTTTTCAGCCTGGAACATTGATTTTCCTGCTTCTTGGATCTTGTCTGACCTGCTGTGCTTTTCCAGCTTGACATCTAGTGACCTTGGCCTAGTGAGCTCTGGGGAATGAAAGGAGTTGCAAATTCAGCTGTTTAGCTGGTCTCAGTATTATTGACAGAAATTCATTGGGTTCTCTCCCTAGTTATTGGAGGTAAGGATGGAGGGAACTTGGTGCGACACAGTTTGCAATGAAGAACAGAGGCTGGGGATTTTCTTAACATTCCTTGGTGATCCTGGAACAATGAACAAAGATGAGAGTGAACAGTGGGGATAACTAGGATGAAGCAGAGAGTAATGGTTTTATTTGAAACAATGGCATCAGAGGTGAAAATGAAAGTATGATTGATCAAATCAGCAGACTAGCATGGTAAACATATCATGCTAGTCACAAGACAGGTAGCTTTTCATCTTCACAGGCCGCACACTGTACTGATCAGGAAATGCCTTTACCTATGATGTCAGGTCTCCTTGGAAAGTATGCTTAAACCTTCTGGTCAAATCATGTTTGCTGTTATTAGTTAGGTAGCACTTGCAAGCCTTAGCCAACCAAATTTTCTGCGGCTGTATCTCCAACTACTCAGAAACCAATGATAATTTATATTGATAGACTGTGTTGGATGATTTTCACCCAGGAGCAAGGCAAACTGCTGAAGGAGCAGGTTGAAGCCGATCTGGTCACCATCTATCAATTTCTGGACACAAAGAAACAAGAGCTGGAAACAAAGATTGAGCAACAAGTGTGCCAGACCATTGAACCCTTACAAGAAAATGTGGAGAAGATCCACCAGGAAATGTCCTCGATTGAACAAACTGTCCTGGATGTACAGTTGCAACTGAGTTTCAAAGAGCCTCTGGAGCTTCTTCAGGTGAGGAGGCAACCTGTGGCAAAGACTGGGTTAATGTACCCTTCACCTTTTTGCTCTTCTTTACCTATGTTCTTTACTTGGTACTTCACAGGCTTTGAGGAAAATGTTAATAGATGAAAGACAGAACAATTTTACATTCTTATAGCAACTTTCCTGACTCAGCACCCATATCATTTATATTGTGGAGTACAGTCACTGTTGTTCTTGCAGAAAAGCTGCAACTATTTTGCACACAGGAAGGTCCTGTAACCAGCAGTGTGATGTCATTCAAGTGTGGTTGAAGGCTAAGTAATGGCCAGGGCAATAAGGACAATTGAATGTTTTACATTCACCTTATGGGCAAGATAAGATCTTGGGTTACTATCTCACCTGTCGCAGTGCAGGACTCTTATTTTTTGATGGGATTCTTGAAATTGTCAGACTTTGGCTGGTCACATGGGGTTTGAACCTATGCCATCCTGATTCGGCAGCTAGTGGGTTTTGCACTGATCCGAGGGTAATTTGACACCATGAGATAGGAGCAGGTGGAGTACATGTGATGTTCAGTATACTCGTGGCTAATCTTGGACTCAGCCCCACTTTCTCCTATGCTGCCCATATCGGATGATTCCCTGAGAGATCAAATAAATAAGTCTGCTCTCACCTTAAATATCTTCAATTATAGCTCATTGATGATTTACAGTATGGGGAATTCCAAAAGATTTGGAACCTTTAGAGTCAAGAAATTTCTCCCCATCTCATCATTTATCTCCCCAGAAATGGGAAACAACCAGTGTTTACACTGTCCGCTGCCTTCATAATCTTTAATGTTTCATTGAGAATATTTCACATTTTTCTGAACAGCAAAGAATATAGACCCACTTTACGCAGCTTGTAATCAGACGGCAATACTTTCATCTTAGGTGCAATCTAGTGAACTTCTGCTGTACTGCCTCTAGTGTAGCTATATCCTTTAGTAAATATAGAGACCAAAACTGCGCATGGTATTTGGTGTGATTTCACCAAAGTCCTGTTCAATTGCAGCAAGACTCCAATCACTTCGTAGTAATGGCCTCATGCCAATTACTTAATTTCACATTGTTTAAAAATATTCTGCATTTCCATTCTTATGACCAAAGGAAATAACATCATACTTCCATTAAATGTTTGTTTAGTTTGGGCTCCGCCAGGGCCACTCAACTCCTGACCTCTTTCGAGCCTTGGTTCAAACATAGACAAGAGAGCTGAATTCCAGACGTGAGGTAAAAGTGACATCCCTTAACATCAAGGCTGCTTTCGACTGGATGTGACATCAAGGAACCCTAGAAAAACGGGAATCAATGTGTTAGCAGGGGCAAACTCTCCAGTAGTTGGAGTAATACCTGATACATAGGAAGATGGTCGTGATTGTTGGAGATCAATCATCTCAGCTTGAGGACATCTCTGCAGGAGTTCCTCAGGGTAGTGTCCTCGGCCCAACCATCTTTAGCTGCTCCATCAATGACCTTCCCTCCATCATAAGGTCAGAAGTGGGATGTTCAGCAATGATTGCAAAATTTTTAGCACCATTTGTGACTCCTCAGATACTGAAGCAGTCCATGTTCAAATGCATCAAGATCTGGACAATGTCCAGGCTTGAGCTGACAAGTGATCAGTAACATTTGTGCCACACAAATGCCAGGCTATGACCATCATGAATAAGAAACAATTTAACCACCCCTTGGCATTCAATAGTGTTACCATCACTGAATCCCCCACTGTCAACATCCTGGGGGTTAGCATTGACCAGAAACTCAACTGGACTCACCAGATAAACACAGTGGCTACAAAAGCAGGTCAGAAGCTGGGAATAATGCGACAAGTAAATCACCTCTTGACTCCTCAAAGCCTGTCCAACATCTACAAGTCGCAAGTCAGGAGTGTGATGGAATACTCCCCACTTGCCTGGATGAGTGCAGTCCCGACATCACTCAAGAAGCTGGACACCATCCAGGACAAAACAGCCCTCTTGATTGGCACTATATCCACAAGCATCCACTCCCACCACCACTGACACTCAACAGCAGCAGAGTATACTACGTACAAGATGCACTGCAGAAATTTACCAAACTTCCTCCGACAGCACCTTCCAAACCCAGGCCCACTTCCATCTAGAAGGACAAGGGCAGCAGATATATGGGAACACCACCACCTTCAAGTTCCCCTCCAAGCCGCTCACCATCCTGACTTGGAAATATATTGCCATTCTTTCACTGTCACTAGGTCAAAATCCTGGAATTCCCTCCCTGAGGGCATTATGGGTCAACCCATAGCAGGTGGACTGCAGCGGTTCAAGAAGGCAGCTCACCACCACCTTCTCGAGGGCATCTAGGGCCAGGCAGTAAATGCTGGCCGGCCAGCCAGCGAAGCCCACGTCCCACAAATGGAAAAAAAAAGAATTCGATGTCACCTTGTCCATTCACTTAACTGTTCTGTTATCTCTTTGCATTTACCTTATTTTCTCCTCACAGTGCTGCATTTCCACTCAAGTTTGCTGACAATACAAAGTTAGATGAGTTATTCTGTTTCTTTATTTAATTAATTAATATTGGCTCTGAACAGCTGAGGTCCCAGCACTGATCCTGGCAGCACATGTGCTAGTCACAGCCTGCCAAGTGCACCCACTTGAAAGTGCCCATTTATCCCTATTTGCTGCTTCTGGTCCATTAACCAATCCTGTATCTATACTAGTACATCACCTAAACTCCACGAATCCTTATCTTGTGTGGCATCTTATTAATTGCCTTTTGGAAATTCAAGTACACTAAATTTGCTGGATCCCTTTGCTCTACCCTCCTAGTTACATTCTGGAAATACCTAATAAATGTAAAACATGACTTCCTTCTTGTAAAGAGGCAGCAAGAACTGCCGATGCTGGAGTCAGAGATAACACAGTGTGGAGCTGGAGGAACACAGCAGGCCAGGCAGCATCAGAGGAACAGGAAAGTTGATGTTTCAGGTCGGGATCCTTCTTCAGAAAATGATGCAGATGCTGTTTCTCCAGCTCCACAATGTGTTATCTCTCCCCTTTTGTAAAACCTTGTTGGTTTATCTAAATCAGCTTATGATTTACTAAGTGCATTATTAAGACTTGTAATAGGTAGCGGGTTAACTGGCCTGTGGTTCCCTATTGTCTCTATTCACACTCTCTTGAATAGTGGTGTTATATTTGCTAAAGTGGAATCTGCCGTCACTGTTCCTCAAACTGAGGAATTTTGGAAAGTCATAGCTAGCCTGTATATTAGCTCTGTAGCTATTTATTTTAGAAGATATAAGCCATTTAGTTCCTGGAGGAATATTAAATACCTTAATCTTCTTTCTGTTTTAGCACCAAGTTTACCTTCTGTCTCTGATATGTAACTTAGGACCTCCACGTTAAGGTCATACACAAAGTATTTGTTCAGTGTTTCTAAAAATTCTCATGATAATTTTGCTTGTCCCAGCTTGTAAGGGACTTGTGTTTACATTAGCTATTCTCTTTTTATAAAAGGTTTTACTGTCTGTGTATACTGTTGACGAGCTTACTCGCATTCTTTTTTTTTCCTCTTTTTACTAACTTATAGGTAGGCCTTTGCTAATTTATAAAGCACACCCACTCCTTAGACTTGCTACTGTTCTTTAGAAGATTTTAAGCCTCTTTTAATCTAATACTATGCAGAATCGCCTTCGTAAGCTACAGATGGAACTTTATCGTAATAGTGGATGCATTGGTAATCATCTTTCAAGATCCTATAGACTTTGGAACAGTTCCTGTGGATTTGAGGGTTGTTAATGCAACCCCACTATTTAACCAAAAAAGGGGTAGAAAGAAAGCAGAATTATAGACTGGGTTAGCCTGACAGCAGAGAGGAATATGCTAACATCCATTTAAAAAAAAAAATTAATAGCAGAGCACTTGGAAAACAGTGACAGGATCAGATGGAGTCAACATGAGTTTATGAGAAGGAAATCATGCTTGACAAATCTACTGGAAGTTTTCAAGAATGTAACTAGTAGAGTTGATAATAGGGAGCCAGTTAACATATTTTACTTGTACTTTCAGAAGGCTTTTAATAAGATCCCACATTAGAGATTAGTATGTAAAGTTAAAGTGCATGGGGTTGGGATAGTATACTGACATGAAAAGACAACTGGTTGGCAGGCAAGAAACAAACAGCATGAATAAATGGGTTCTTTCTTCCCCCAGGTGATAGGCTTGTCAGGGATCAGGGCTTGTACCCTAGCTGTTCAAAAAAATCTATTAATGGTTTAGGTGAGGGATCTTTATGTAACATCTCCAAATTTGTAAATGACACGAAGCTGGTAGGGGGAGGGCAGTGACCTGTCAGGGGATGCAGAGAGGCTTCAGTGTGATTTTGGACAAGTTGAGTGAGAGTGGCCAAATGCATGAAAGATGAAGTATAAATGTGAGGTTATCCACTTTGGTAGCAAAAACATGAAATTATCTGAATGGCAATAGTGTTATCGAGATGTACAACATGGAAATAGACCCTTTGGGCCAACTCATCCATGCCAACCAGATGCCCTAAATTAATCTAGCCCCATTTGTCAGCATTTGGCCCATATCTCTCTCTAAATAAACCCTTCCTATTCACATATCCATTCAGATGCCTTTTAAATGTTGTAATTGTACTAGCCTCCATCACTTCCTCTGGCAGTTCATTCCATACATGCAGTACTCTCTGCATTAAAAAGTTGCCCCTTAGGTCACTTTTAAATCTCCCCCTCTCAACTTAAACCTATGCCATCCAGTTTTGGACTCGCTTACTCTGGGGAAAATATCTTGGCTATTCACACTGTCCATGCCTCTCATGGTTTTATAAACTTCTATAAAGTTGCCACTCAACTTCCAACACTCCAGGGAAAGTAGCCCCAGCCCATTTAGCCTCTCCCAATAGCTCAAACCCTCCAACCCCGGCAACATCCTTGTAAATCTTTTCTGAACCCTTTCAAGTTTCACAACATCCTTCCTATAGCAGAAGATCAGAATTAAATGCAGTATTCCAAAAGTGGCCTAACCGGTTTGATGAGGGAATGGGGAATGTGCCAAGATATCTGGATTAATCTTTGTATTAGATCTAAATCACTTAAGTCTATTTATGATTCTCCATACATTCAGATATGCTGTTCACATCAGTGCTGCAATAGTGTGATGATTTAAAAAAAAATCAAAAGGATTCTTCCAAAGAGCAGTGTATTAAATCAAAAAACCTCATTCAGTGCTATTTGAGTCTAATGAGTGTGGTTAATTGAGCTTTCACTGCATGTTCTTTGTTGACAGTGTTATTACACAGAATTCTTTATCCTAATGTCAGATGTGGAGATTATAACCTTGTTATTTGTTTTGGTTTTTCACTTTTCTTTAGGATATCAAACTGCTGCTGGACAGGTGCGTGTCTAAAGTTTTTTTTCTGAATGTATGCTCCTGAGTTCCCATTGCTGGTCTGACTGGATATGTACGTTACCTGACCTGCACAGATAGCCCACTCCCGTGTTCAGTACCAAATCTCTTCTGGGTTAGTTGGTCTTGACTAGGATTGTGACCCCAGTACTGTAGTTTATCCTCACAGCCTATGGATTTTGGAGAAGGATCACCAGAGCAGAATCATAGAATTCCTACAGTGTGGAAACAGGCCATTCGGCCCATTAAGTCTGCCTTACACCAGACCCAGACCCCTACCCCATCCCTAAACCCCACTTTTTACCATGGCTAATCCACCTCACGGACATCCCTGGTCAGTACAAGGCAATTTAGCATGGCCAATCCACCTAATGTGCATATCTGTGGGTGAAAACTAGAGTACCCGGAGGGAACCCACACAGACAAATATGATTATTCCGCACAGACAGTCACCCGAGGCTAGAATCAACCCAAGGTCCCTGGCACTGTGAGGCAGCAATGCTAACCACTGAGCCACTGTGCTCGGTTTGGTCGCTGCTCAGTCCCCTTGGCTGGAAAACACATTTGGTGTAAATCATAGTTTAATTGGGATAACCGTAGGTTCATAGGTTCAAATCAGACTCCAGGGACTTGCACACAAAATCCAGACTACAATGCATTCCTTTAGGAATGCTTAACTGTTAAGAAATGCTATCTTTTGAATAGAAGGCAATATCGAGACACCCTCTCACGTGGATGTTAAAGATTCCATGGCAACATTTTGAAGAAAAGCAGAGGTCTTTTCCAAAACATATCCCTCAACCAACACCTAAAATGATCTGGTCATTATCACAGCCTTGCTGTATGAAATTAGTTGTGCTTTTTTCTATAATACAGTAGTGACTGTTGTGGTATAATTTGCACATACCTTTCAGAGATTGCAGCCTAATCTTTTGGATTATATGACCATTGTATATATCCTTGGAATTTACATTACCCAAGATTCGTGTCTGTGAGATCTCCTTGCAGACTGGGGGAGATCTCTAACGTTTTTGATGTGTTAGGTAGATGGCTTTAAGTATCATAGATGAGCATGGAAATGCCTGGCTTGTAAGGCACATCACAATAATACCTTCGTATTTTGACCAAAAAAGGTACTATAATCTTGGCAGTGCACAAATTAGGGTTTTTGCCAGATCATTTAAACGCTATGTGTGTTTACATGACAAAAAACTTCTTTCCAGCTACATAATGGTTGGATGCCAAATACCGTTACCAAGGATTTCTATTCTCTATTTGATTGTCTGCTGCCCAAGCCAAACACCTGGAGAGAAAATCAATAGGTTTCCTCTTCTGGAGAAGTCATGCTCTAAGTCTTTTTCAATATGCATCAGTTGTTTCAGTTAAAGACATTTCAAAGTCATAGATCTTCCTGCCAAAAAGATTTACCATAAAGTTCATAGATAACTGAGGCTTTCTAGGCCTACTGGAAGTAAGGATATTAGAAATACTGTGGTGGTGTTGCTGGTTATTTTATCTTCTAGAATGGCTGTTGCACTGACACCTTTAGCTTACTAGGATTGGGATAAATATTTGTATCAGAATTGTTGGATCCAAAAAATCAATTTGTGGAGTATTGGTGTTACATTTCTGACTACTAAATATCAAACCTTCTCTGCACACACAGCTTCTATCAGAAGGTTTCTGTCATACTTCGTTTTGTGCCCACAGAGACGATGCTGTCTTCTGTGCAAAAGCATCCTGGGATCTTGCACACCATTGTGTCCATATATTGTTGAAAAATATCCTGTTTTATGGAAAGTTCAATTCGTAACCTTTTATGAGCAGTATGCAGTATGGGAGTATGGAGTGTTGTTAGTTTCTAAGAGGATCTCTGTGGATGTCACAAACAATGCTAAAAGTATGAGTTTGAAGAGGAATCTGGCAATCATAAACTTGCGATTGAGTTTCTCAAGTGTAGAATTTTCTGAGGGTGTTGTGCTAGAGCCAGATTTACATGTCTTAGTTCTAAACAAATTCAACAATAACCATCTGTCGTATTAGCACTCATGTTGGTGTTACACCAATTTATGTGGTGTACCTTTTAAATTATATCATCTCTCTCCATCTTCTTCAGTTTGACATTCATCTTGTGTGAGATGTGAGTGGACACTTATGCAGTGATCAATACATGGATTAATGTCTTCACATAGATATAATATTGAATTGCCCTCGAGATCTCCAATCACTTGATTTTATTTGAATATATGGATACAAGGTCAGCTGCTCAGGATGTTAGGTGTTCTTATATTCTGTTGCCTTCTTCCTTGGGTTGTGGGCACTGTGATGGTAACCAGCATTGATCCTACTCCTCATGGGCTGCTTACAGGTCGTAGGATGATGCCATAATATCCTGTGCATGTGGCAATATTAGCAAAAGTTTAGAATATACCCTTTTTAAAGTAGTATGCATGTTGTATCACAACTGTAACTGTACTTCAAAACAAGAAGTACATTTTTAGCTGTAAACATCTTTGAGCATGTCCTGTGACTTTTCTTTTAAACTCTAAACAGTTTCAGGCTTGGTCTGAGCCTTGCTAACGTTGCCTCAAGCTTGTATGAAAAGAGTGGCAACTTTGGCAGCTTAAGGGCTGCCGGTCTCTTCCAACTTGAGGAGATGAGAAATTTGGGGGAAAGAAACACAGAATTCTGAAAAAAAACTCACTTCCTCTGAAGTGTCCTACCCGTTTTGAAACCTTCATTCTATTTTTTTCCACAGCTGTTGCAAGGCTTGCTGAATTTCTCCAGCATTCTGTGTTTGTATCATATTTCTAAAATCTGCAATATTTGCTTTTATCCAAGAAATTTGGAAGCTTTTGGTTTTGTAAGTTGTCATTCTTGTGATGATACTCCATTCCAGGTGTAAACAGGAGCATGTCAAACCAGTAGATGGACCCATTGAGCTGCGTACCAACTCTATCATCACACCTTTCCGCTACATCAAAATCTGGGATAAACTTAAAGCATTAATACCAGGTATGTGATCAACCAGTTTCTTGCATGCAGAGACAGTGTTGTAAATGAATTTGTTACACAGTGGTTATAGCAGTCTATGGCTCAGTTCCTCTCAGTATCAGAAGCTTGCAGGATCAAGCCCACTGCTGAGACTTGAGTATGAAGTCTTATATAACCAGTTGTGCATTACTGAGGCAGTGCTGGATTATTGGAGACACAGTCTTTCAGATGAGTCACTAAACTGAAGTCTCTCCTTTGCCCTCGTGGTGGTAAAAGATCCAAGGTGCTATTTGGGAAAGGAGCAGGGGAGGTCTTCTGATGGAGGGTGAAATATTGAATAGCACAATCAATGTCGTTAATTGACATTTACTGTTTCTGTGATCTGGCTGTGTAAAAATAATTGTTTGAGTATGCCATACGTGCTGAATGAACTTGGAAGAAATGAACAAGGAACGTCTCTAAAAAGAGAGTCTGGCCCAGTGCTACACATGAGGGATTTTTGGCTGGTTTATCAGACTCCTCTATAGTGGAAAGTCGGTGAGCCGGCTTTTGCGCTTTGAAGTAGGAAGCATCAATTGAGTAATTTCCCAACATCCCATTCCTGTTTCAGCATGGCATACATTAGTTTCACTGCACTGAGTTTATAGGTTGGTTAGAGTCAGTGTCTCTGGCTCATCGAGCAGGCTGGAATAGGAACAGAAGAGGGTGCACGCTGAAAAGATGATTAGAAAGCCCGGTTCCTTTCACTGGAACATTCGGTCTGTTCTGTACATGATTGTTAGGCTCCTAGCCGTAATCTCATGTACCCTTCCCCTTTCAATACCCTACATGTCTGCTCAGTCTGCATATTTGGCATGCCCATTGCATACCCCTTCATATTTCTCCATGGAGACTAAAACCCTGTCAAGGACCTGATAATAAAACTGAAAAGTCTTCGAGATGTTTGTGTAACTGTTAAAATAAATAAACATCAATTCAACCTCCACTTTAATATATCTTGGAGCTGATAAACCAGTCAAAAATTCACCGTAACCCTAACCATTCAAATTCCACTTAAATCTGTGACGATTTAAGGTAGGTCGGTGGTTAGCACTACTGACTTACAAAGCTAGGAACCCAGGTGCGATTCCACCCTCTGGAGACTGTCTGTGTGGAGTTTGCACATTCTCCCCATGTCTGCTGGGTTTTCTCCAGGTACTCTGCTTTCTTCCCACAGTCCACAGTCCAAAGATGTGGGGGTTACGTGGATTGGCCATGCAGACTAGGTGGGTTAGCATGCGAAATGCAGGGTTACAAGGATTGGGTAGGGAGTTGAGTCTAGGTGGGATGCTGTTTGGATAGTCAGTGTGGACTTTTGGGCCAAATGGCCTGTTTCTATATTGTAGGGATTCTAAAAATTTAAGAAAAAAACACTTCAGGCTAATGTTCTAGGGTCAGAGGTTTAAATCCCTTTATGGCAGATGGTGAAATTTGAAATTGAATGACAACTGCTGCTGATTGGTGTTTTTAAAAAAAAAAAAATTAATTTCTTTCACGAATGCTCTTTACAGAAAGAATTCTGCTCTCCTCACCTGGTCTGGCCTACATCTGATTCCAGACCCACTAATGTGATTGTCTCTTCACTGCCTTCTGGCCAGTTAAGGATATGCAATAAATGATGTCTTAGCCAGTGGTGCCCACATCCCATGAATGAATTCAAAAAATTTAAATGTAAACATCAAAGTAGAGAGTCCAGATGACATGCACAAATTTGAACCTCCACACTGATCTATACAGAAACCTTTTTATCCATTAAATGAAGTTCTTGTTCTGAACACTTTCACAATCCCAATCAATTTAATGGGTAAATACCGTTAAAACAAAGCAGTAACATGAATCACAGCATTAAAAATATACCTAACCAATTACAAAGCCTCTATTGATAACAGTTTCCAATCAGAAGGTTCCCAGTTCCTCAACGGGCCTTCCCTGTGGTTCATGAGCCGTCTGGCTTAACATGGTTCTTTTAGTTTCAGAACACAACCTGTCTCATTGAAAATTCCACATGCAATAACATTCAGATACATTGTATTATTGCAGTAACAATATCAATTTGCTTGCACATTGGATTGCAGTCCACCATGTTTTCTGCTTGTCAAAGTAGTGGCTGGTGATAAGAGATTTTTCTGTCTCCCTGCAATTATATTCTGTGCTATGATTGATAAAGGCAAGTGTTGAATATGTCATCTTAACTATCCTATTAAACTGTCCTGCTGCCATCAGAGATCTGTGGACAAGCACTCCAAGATCCTTCTAGTTCTATGAACTTCCCAGTGTGCTACCATTCATGGAGTATTCTCTTGTCTTGTGACTTCTTCCAGAGTGTATTACCTCACATTTATCAGGATTAAGTTCAGTCTGCCTCTGATCTGACCAAGCCATCTTTACCTTCCTGTAACCCAAACCTTCTTCCTCAGTAGGAACCACGCAGCCAATCTTCACGTCATACACAGACTCACTTCTCATTCCCCCCTACATTTTCTTCCATATCCTCAATATTAAAAAGGGACCCAGCACTGATCCCTATAGAACACCAGTAGGCACTAGTCACCAATAACAAACAGCCTCCTTACCACCACCCCCTCTCCTACCACTTTTGGATCCAACTCGCCAAATTATCTGGATCCCATGTGCGTTTCCCTTCTTTATAAGTCGACCATGTTGGAATTTGTCAAAGGCTTTGCTGAAATCCAAGTAAACTACATGAATTGTAAAACTACAGTATGTAGATAGACCAACACGAGGAGAGGCCAGTTTGGATTTGGTGCTTGACAATGAACCGGGCCAAGTGTAAGACCTAGGACAAAAACAAAGTTGCCGGAAAAGCTCAGCAGGTCTGGCAGCATCTGTGGACCTGTGTTAGACCTGTTGTTAGGAGAGCATTTTGGCGGTAGCGATCATAACTTTGTTACTTTTACAATAGTCATGGAAAAGGATAGGTACATACAGCAGGGTAAGGTTTATAATTGGGGGAAGGGTAATTATAATTCTGTTAGGCAAGTATTGGGTAACATAAAATGGGAACAGATGCTGTCAGGGAAGAGCACTATAGAAATGTGGAGGTTGTATAAGGAATGCATACTATGTGTGCTCGATACGTTTGTCCCTAGCAGGCAGGGAAGATGCGGTCGAGTGAGGGAGCCTTGGTTCTCAAGAGAGTTCGAATGACTAGTTAAGAGGAAGAAGGCTGCTTTGTATAAAGTTTAGGAAACAAGGATCGGAAATGGCTCTAGAGGGATACAAGTTAGCCAGGAAGGAGCTGAAGAAAAGGCTTAGAAGAGCTATAAGGGGGCATGAGAAAACCTTGGCAGATAGGATCAAGGAAAACCCCAAGGCTTTTTACACGTATGTGAGGAAGAAGAGAATGACCAGAGAAAGGGTAGGGCCAGTCAAGGATTGTAAAGGGAATTTGTGCACGGAGCCGAAAGAGATAGAAGAAGTCCTTAATGAATACTTTTCTTTGGTATTCACAACTGAGAGGGACCTAGTTGTAGGGGAGGACAATGCGAAATAGGCTGGTAGGCTAGAGGAGGTGGATGTTAGTAAGGAAGATGTACTAGGAATTTTGAGGAACGTGAAGATAGATAAGTCCCCCGGGCCTGATGGGATTTATCCAAGGATTCTATGGGAAGCGAGGGAAGAGATTGTAGGGCATTTGGCAATGATCTTTTCATCCTCACTGTCCATGTGTATAGTATCGGAAGATTGGAGAGTGGCAAATATCATTCCCTTGTTCAAAAAAGGGAATAGGGATAACGCCGGAAATTACAGGCCAGTTAGTCTTACTTCAGTGGTGGGCAAATTATTGGAAAGGGCTCTGAGAGATAGGATTTATGATCATTTGGATAGGCACAGTTTGATTCGTGATAGTCAGCATGGATTTGTGAGGGGTAGATCATGCCTCACAAACCTTATTGAATTCTTTGAAGAGGTGACCAAACACGTGGATAAAGGTAGAGCAGTGGATGTGGTATACGTGGATTTAAGTAAGGCGTTTGAAAGGCTCATGCAGAAAGTAAGAAGGCATGGGATAGTGGGAAATGTGGCAGATTGGATTCAGAATTGGCTGACCCTTAGAAGACAAAGGGTGGTAGTGGACAGAAAATATTCAACATGGTGTTCAGTTAAGAGTAGTGTACCACAAGGTCCTCTTCTATTTGTGATTTTTGTAAATGATTTGGATGTAGGAGTGGAAGGGTGGATTAGTAAATTCGCGGGCGATACGAAGGTGGGTCGAGTTGTATATAGTGCGGAGGACTGTTCTAGGTTACAAAGGGACATTGATAGGATGCAGAGCTGGGCTGAGAAGTGGCAGATGGAGTTTAACCCTGAAAAGTGTTAGGTGATTCATTTTGGAAGGACAAATTTGAAAGCAGGATACAGGGTTAATGGAAAGATTCTTGGCAGTGTGGAGGAGCAGAGAGATCTTGGGGTTCATGTCCACAGTTCCCTGAAAGCTGCCACCCAGGTGGATAGAGTTGTTAAGAAGGCGTATGGTGCGTTAGCTTTCATTAATAGAGGGATTGAGTTCAAGAGCCGTGAAGTTATGCTCCAGCTATACAAAGCCCTTGTTCAGCCACATCTGGAGTATTGTGTCCAGTTCTGGTTGCTTCGTTACAGGAAAGATGTGGAAGCGTTGGAAAAGGTGCAGAGGAGATTTACCAGGATGTTGTCTGGAATGGAGGGAAGGTCTTACGAGGAAAGGTTGAGAGCGCTAGGGCTTTTCTGTTTCGAACAATGAAGGATGAGAGGTGACTTGATAGAGGTGTACAAAATAATCAGAGGTATAGATAGAGTGGACAGCCGGAGACTTTTTCCTCGGGTGGAGGTAGCTGTTACAAGGGGGCATAGTTATAAAGTGAGTGGAGGTAGATATAGGGGAGATGTCAGAGGTAGATTCTTTACTTGGAGTGGTATGGGCGTGGAATGCATTGCCGGAGAGGTAAGTGGAGTCGGCCTTATTAGGGGCATTTAAGCGGCTATTAGATAGGCATATGGATGATAGTGTAAGGTAGGGGTGGAGGTTAGATAGACCTTAGGTTTAGGGTAAAAGTTCGGCACAACGTCGTGGGCCGAAGGGCCTGTACTGTGCTGTACTGTTCTGTGTTCCAGTTACACTACCCTCATCTACACACCTGGTCACCTCTCAAAATTCGATCAAATTTGTTAGGCATGACCTCTTTCTGACAAAGCAATGCCGACTAAACCTTGCCTTTCCAAGTGGAAATTAATTCAGAATTTTTTCCAATTAGTTTCACTTCCACTACTGTAAGGCTCACTGCTCTGTCATTCCCTGGTTTATCTCTACCACCTTCCTTGAAACGTGGAACCATATTAGCCGTCTTCCAATCATCCGGTACCTCCCCCGTTGCCAAAAAGTGATTAAAGTACCCGTTTAACACCCTAGCAATGTCCTCCAACTCCACGCACAGGTTCCACTCTTGGTTCCTAATGGGCCTCACTCTAAGCATGTGTTTCCAAGTGCTATACCTGCACAGTGATTGAGAACTATGCAATGGACAGTGAATGAACGGAACATTAGAAATAGGCGCAGAGGTAGGCCATCTGGCCCCTCGGGCCTGCTCCACCATTCAGTAAGATCATGGCTGATCTTTTTGTGGACTCAGCTACACTTACCCACCCACTCACCATAATCATTAATTCCTTATCTGTTCAAAAATCTATCTTTGCCTTAAAAACATTCAGCAAGGTAGCCTCAACTGCTTCACTGGGCAGGGAATTCCACAGATTCACGACCCTTTAGGTGAAGAAATACCTCCTCAACTCAGTCCTAAGTTGGCTCTCCCTTATTTTGAGACTGTGCTTTCTAGTTCTAGTTTCACCCGCCAGTGGAAACACCTCCCTGCTTCTGTCTTATCTATTTCCTCCATAACTTTGTATGTTTGTATAAGACCCCCCACCCCCACCCTCCTGGTCATTCTTCTAAATTCCAATGAGTATAGCCCCAGTCTACGCAGTGTCTCCTGATCAGCCAACCCTCTCAACTCTGGAATTAACCGAGTGAACCTCCTCTGCAGCCCTTCCAGTGCCAGTACATCTTTTGTCCAAGTAAGGAGGACAAAACTGTACACAGTACTCCAGGTCTGGCCTCATCAGCACCATATACAATTGCAGTGTAACCTCCCGGTTTTTCAACTCCATCCCACGAGCAATGAAGGACAATATTCTACTTTCCTTAATTGCCTGCTGCACCTGCAAGCCAACTTTGTGATTTCATGCACAAGGATACCCAGATTTCTCTGCACAGAGCATACTGCAATTTTTCACCATTTAAATAATAGTCCATTTTGCTGTTATTCCTACCAAAATGGATGACCTCACATTTACGAACATTGTACTCCATCTGCCAGACCCTTGCCCACTCACATAACCGATCTATATCCCTCCGTAGACTTTGTGTCTTCCGTACGCTTTGCTTTACTACTCATCTTAGTGTCATCTACGAACTGTGATACGCCACACTTAGTCCCCAACTCCAAATCATCGATATAAATTGTAAACAATTGCAGATCCCTGGGGCACATCACTAGACACTGATCGCCAACCAGAAAAACACCCATTTGTCTGCACTCTGCTTTCTGCTCGCTAACTAATCCTCTATCCATGCAAATAGATCACCCATAATTCTGTGTACCTTTGTCTTATGCAGCAGCCTTTTGTATGGCACCTTGCTGAATACCTTTGGGAAATCCAGACACACCAGTTCCGCATTGTCCACTGCACGTGTAATGTCCTCAGAGAATTCCAGTAAATTAATTAAATATGACTTTCCTTTCATGAACCCTTGCTGCATCTGCCCGATGGGACAATTCAGGTTCAAGCATTTTCCCACTACAGAAGTTAAGCTAACAGGCCTATTGTTACCCGCTTTTTGTTTACCTCCTTTTTTAAACAGTAGCGTCATATTTGCTGTTTTCCAACCTGCCAGAACTGCCCCAGAGTCTACAGAATTGTGGGAAATTACCACGAGTGCATTTGCTACTCCACCCCCCCCAACTCCCACTGACCCCTGCCATCTCTTTTAGTACCCTGAGATGCATTCCATCACGGCCAGTCTACCTTTAGCCCCATCAGCTTGCCCAAGACTACCTGTTTAGTGATAATGATCCTCACCTAGGTCCTCATCTGTCATAGCCTCATGTCAATTATTAGCATGTTATTTGTGTCTTTCACTGTGAAGACTGACACAAAATACCTGTTCGATGCCTCAGCCATTTTCTCATTTCCCATTATTAACTCCCCCTTCTTGTCCTCTAAAGGACCAATGTTTACTTTAGCCAATTTTTCATTTTATATATTTGTAGAAACATTTCCTATCTGTTTTTATATTTTGAGCTAGTTTACTCTCAACTTATTGTACCTTTCTTTAAAGTCTGTTTTCCTGGATTTCTGTTGACCTTTAAGGATTTCCCAATCCTCGAGTTTCCAACTAATCTTTGCCACTTTTTATGCATTAACTTTCAATTTGATACCCTCCTTTATTTCCTTAGTTATCCATGGCTGATCATCCTTTTTTCTACAGTCCCTTTTCAGTGGTATATACTGTTGGTGAGCACTGTAAAAAAAAAAACACTTTAAAATTCCTCCACCGTTCCCCAATTGTTCCACCATATAGTCTTTGCTCCCAGTCTACTTTAGCCAACTCCTCCCTCATCCCATTCAGGTCTCCTTTGTTAAAGCGCAAGACACTGGTATTGGATTTTACTTTCTAACACTCCATCTACATATCAAATTCAACCATACTTTGATCACTCCTTCCAAGTGGATCCCTAACTATGAGATCATTTATTATTCTTGCCTTACTACACAGGACCAGATTTAGGAAAGCTTGCTCCCTTGTAGGTCCAGTTACATAATGTTCGAGGAAACGATTGTGGATACATTCTATGAACTCCTCTTCAAGGCTGCCTTGACCGACTTGGTTTGACCAATTAACATGTAGATTTAAATTCCCCATGATAACTGCCGTACCATTTCTACATGCTGTTATTTCTTTATTTATTACCCGCCCCACCTTGATGTTGTTATTTGGTGGCCTATAGATGATAACTATCAGTGATTTTTTTCCATCTTACTATTTCTAATTTCCACCCACGATAATTCAACCTTTTTCTCTATCGAACCTATATGATCTCTTACTACCGCCCGGATGTCATCCTTAAATATCAGAACTACACCACATCCTTTTCCTACATGTCTGTCCTTCTGAATAGCCTGATACCACAAATCTTTAACTCCTAGTTGTGACCCCCCCCCTGCAACCATATCTCTGTAATGGCCACTATATCATACCCATGTGATGATTTGTGCTGTCAACTCATTTACCTTGTTACCTTTTTTATGAATCTTAACACCTCTACCAGAAGAACCTTTGTTTAAAGACATTCTCTCTTTTTCTGCCACTACCGAGTTTCCACTCATCTTAGTGCTACGCTGCTTCTTGCATTCTATTTACTATCTTGATTCTCTTTTTCCTTAAGCCCTCCCCCACTCTAGCTGACTCCGTACTTCCCCTTTGGTTCACAACCCCCACCAAGCTCATTTAAACTCCACCTGGCTTTGCTAGCAAAACCACCTGCAAGAATATTGGCCCCATCACTGTTAGGGTGAAGACCATTCCCCTTGAACAGGTCCCACCTTGCCCAGAAATGGTCCCAGTTATTCAGAAATCAAAAACCCTCCTGTACTACTCCCCCAGCCACATATCACACTGCCTAATCTGCCAATCCTAGCCTCACTAGCACATGGCACTGATCGTAATTCAGAGATTACTACCTTTCAATCTGGCTCCTAACTCCCTAAATTCAGCCTTCAGGACTTCAACCTTTTTCATAACTATGTCATTGGTACCAGCGTGTACCAGAGCCACTGGCTGACTCCCCATTCCCCGACCAAATGCCCTGCTCAGTAACCTGCAGGAGCCTTGCACCAGGAAGCACCACACCATCCTGTTGTCACTGGAGTGTCTGCAGAAATACCTCTCCATTGCCCTAATAATTGAATCCGTTATCACTGTAGTTTTAACCGCCTTTTTCTCCACCCATCTTTAGCTGAGCGACCCACGGTGCTGCGGGTTTTGCTTTGGCTGCAATTCCCTGGGGCACTATCACCATCACCAGAACTCAGCACTGAGTACCGGTTAGCTGTTGAGATGGGCTAAGGGAACTCCTGCACTGCCTGCCTTACCTTATGCTTGAGTGCAACGGTCACCCATTCCCTGTCCTCCTGCATTCTTTTACACTGTGGGGTGACCACTGCCTTGTACACACTATCCACGTAACACTTGTTGTCCCAGATGCTTCTCAGTGCCTCCCAACCTCTCTGAAGTTCCATAACTCGGCGCTCAAGTTGGAGATACTGACAGCACCTCCTGCACACGCATTGCTCATCGATGAAATCAGTAAGCGAGAACTCCCACACTTTACAGGTGGAGCATACCGCTTGAAGGAGTTGGCCTGCCATCCCTTTAATTAACCCAAAAATCTACCCACTAAAAAAGCTAAATCTAATTCTCACTAATGTACCTTAACATTTAACTAGAAAGTGTAATATTTTCAACAGGTTATTTGATTAGTGTAAGAAAATTAGAATTATACTCAGCCCTCAAACAGGCAGTCACTTACTGGCTTGGCTCCGATGCCACTCTCAGATTTCACGCTCCCTCTCACCAGAAACTTTGCAGCCTTTATGGTTCCTGAGTCTCTGTCCTGTGACTGTTCCTGGCTCTGAGGCAAGTCCTTGTAATAGTAGCTGAATGTAAGAATGTGTCCAATCAGAGTGTTTCTGTTAATGAGGATGTGTATCTTGCAGCCAGAGAATTTCTAAAACTGGATCCTAAGACAGCACATCCACGACTTATTCTGTCCGAGGATCTCATCAGTGTGATTGATGGCGAGAAACGTCGGGACTCTTCATTCATGCTCCATCGTTTTAACCACTGGCTCTGTGTTCTAGCTAACATTGGCTTCCTGTCAGGGCAACACTACTGGGACGTAATGCTGGGCAACAATACTGCTTGTATCATTGGCGTTGTCAGCGAATCTGCTGACCGGTCAATAACTAAACAGCTGACACCACAAGATGGCTACTGGGTGATTGAAATGGTCAATGGGAGCCTGGTCAATGTCATTGGTCCTGGTGCCAAGATCCTCCCTCTACGACGCAAGCCCCGCATCATCCGTGTCTACCTGAATTATGAGGAGGGGCAGCTATCTTTCTACGATGCTGAAGACCTGTGTCCTATCTACACCATACGGGACAAGTTCACAGCAAAACTCTATCCCCTCTTCAACCCTCATAACCGTAAGGAAGGGAATTTGGAGTCACTGAGTATATGTAACGAGACAGAGTGCTAAGATTCATTTGCTCCCAGCAGGGTGGGATTTTGACATTGTGGCAGCCTTTCTTGAAGGGGAAGTCTGTTGACATTTAGAACGGCTCTAAGGCAAATAAGTGAACTCCTATTGGCATTTTTCTTCTAGTCATTGTTGCCAGCCATTAAGTGTTAAAAGTTGCTGGTTGGAATTAAACGGACCCTGACAGGCTGGCTGGGAATTTTCACCCTGGTGCTCCAGGTTCCTAGGAGGAACTCATATTTGTCAAATCTGCATTGTCCATATGTTACCTTTCCATTATTGACTTTAAATGTTACAACATTGCTGGTTGAGGCAGGAGGAAGAGGGACTGCTGAATTCTACATGGGAACCAGTAGCACAGGCAAGAAATCCCATTCATCATGTATCATGGCAGATATACAGAATAAACTCCCCTTGCATAGCAACTCGGTGGATCCATAAATCACAACACAAGATCTGGAGTCCAGTCTGAATGTGGAATCCAGCATTGGTGCCATTTTACTGTCATTGGCACTTGTTTCCATAGCAAACACACCAGTACAGGGGTTATCCCTCCCAATTTATCCTTCCTGCAATTCCATGAGTGGATTATATCAATTGGAAACTGGAATAGGCCATTTGGACATACTGGCATGGTCTGCCATTCAATAAGGTCAAGTGCTTATCAGGTTGTGGCCTCAATTTCACAGTGAATATTGACAGTTGTTTATGAAAATGATTATTGTAGTAATGGATATAAAAAGGCACAAGACATCATATCATGAAAGGATAAAATGGCCAAACTTCTCTTACCAGTATTTTATCAATGCAAAATAGTTCAATAGCCACACCACATTGATGCTGGAAGGAACAAACTGAGGCAAACATATTAAAGATTTTGATGTAAGGAAAAACTTCAAATGCATTATGAGTAAAGGCACAATTCAACCTGGAGTTTAATAAATGCATTCTAAGTGTTTCATTATCGTAGTTTGAATTTTATCATTTTTAATGAAGTCTTTTTCAATTGAATACACTGTAATGTTCCCATTACAAATACCTCTGCAACCCTATGCTTTCACAGCCTTTTTGGTTCATTTCTCCAGCATTGGAGAATATGTCAACATACTAACACTGACAGAAACGTGGATTATGGTGATCCTAAGAATGGATTTGATGGTGTGAACAAAGAGGAACTATTTCTCTTGGCAGGTGTGTTGGTAACCAGAGGCTATCCTCAGGGCATATTCATGGTAGACCTGACATTGAGGCATTCATTGGCAGGCACTAGTATGAAATGCTTTGGGATTATGTTGCTGTGGCAACTTTACCATGAATACACCCCCCCAAAAAAAAACACTCAGCTTGGGCAAGTCACTGAGACAGACAGGGCAAAAGATTTCTAAAATCAGTATTATTAATATTGGAGTGAGGGAAAGGGTGTATAATTCATGCTCACTTTTGTATCAGAACAGCAAACTTACAAGAACAACTAATAGTCACAAATGGAGGAATCGTCCACAATACTGTTCTTCACATCATACCACATGTTGTTCGGGTAATAAATGATTTGGAAATCTGAAACAGGAACAGAAAATTCTCAGTGGCAAGTGTATGATGCACACCATTATTAATGTTGCATTCATTCTGCATTTGGAATAAAGATTACATAAATTGTAAATTGCTTCATGTTCCTTGATGATTTAACCTTGTGAAAACAAACCCATTGAAGTCTTCATGAAATTTACAATTGCTGCATTTGCAAACCAGTCATTGAACTCATCACTGCAAATTGAAACCAGTAATCAAAAGTAAGTAGCTTTTTAATCACCATGATACGTGTCCATCAGCAACTGCCAATAAAACTTCTAGTTAAGCGTTTAGATTCTCTTTCCTTCAGGTTGTGAATTGGCAATACGGATTTGCAAAGCTGCAAGTGATACATTATCATGTATTGAGAACTGGGTACTTAACAGTCAGGATAAACGTGCTCGTTTGAGGTTGGCAAACTATTACTGGAGTGCCACAGTGATCACGCTGAAGCAGAAAGTTGTCCAAATGAAAAGAGAATTGCAGATTACTCCAGCATACAGAGAGATGTGAAGGATAGAAGATGCCAACTTCTGCAATGCATCTAACCAGATCGGTAACACAGAGTGGAAGCTCACTATCCACACCCTTATTGCGTAGCAGTGAAAGGTGGGGCATCAAGAATCATGACGGGAACATTGAAATCGGGTTGAACCCCACCAATTTACTGAACAGTGAGTTTACAACTATACTAAAAATTCACCGTTAAACTGGTGTACCTTCACTCTCGCTGGTTTAAAATCCTAGAACTGCCTTTCAAAAGTCACACCAAATCAACTGCAATAGTACAAGGAAGCAAGTAACTGTGTTACCGAGCCTGTTTCGGCGCCTTATGACATACTGCTGGAGTAAGTATTTGATCTCCTGTCTTCTCCAAAGATCAAAAACGTGTTCTCTTCCCTCGCCCCGGCCAAAAACAAAGAGTGTTGGTCTACCTACAGAACATAGAAGTTCAAGAAGGCAGCTCACTACAAACTTCTCAAGGGTAACTAGGGGAGGGCATTAAATACTGGCCCAGCTAGCCACATACACACACACACACATGGCCCACGACCGAATTAAAAACCATGTTAGGACCCTCTTGAGGTTCAGTGGTAGTGTCCATAGCCCTGGACCAGGAGGCCCGAGTCCACGTCCCATCTGCTCCAGTGATGATAACATCTCTGAACAGATTGATTAAAAAAATAGGATTTTTTTAAGAAAAAGTTAGGAGTGTTTGACCGCTAACTTTAAAAAGCAATAATCCCCCTTATTTAGCAACTTGCTGCTAACGAGGTGGTGCTAATTGCCCCCAATGACCGGATGAGACCTGGCTTCACTTGTAGCCATCGACCAAGTCATTCAAACACCTATCAGATTCTGCCTTCAACTTAACTCATACTTTGCCACAGCCGTTAGCCGTACAAAAAAAACCCCAGAAATTACTGGAGAATCTCAACAGCGACCCTCACCGGACTCAAAGTTAATTCTGTATCTCTCCCCCACCACCCAACAGATGCTGCCAGACCTGCTGAGTTCCTCGAGCAGTTTCTGACCTACAGTATCGGCAGCTCTTTGATTCATTTTAATGCAGGTCCTTATCAAGTGCCCTCTTCCAGACCAACAGCCATCCTCCTTCCATCCCTCTGTCCCTCATTTGCAGAAACTCCGAGAGATCTCAAGAGGCTCCTCCTGGTTCAGAGACCAGGCTGCTCTCAGAATTGGTATACCGTTATTCAAGCCATGCAGAAACTTAAATCACCTTTGCAAGTTGTAGCTTCCCTCATTTGAGCAGCACTTTTTGGTTACTGCTAAAATGTAGACAAAAACTAGGGAGAGATGAGCCTTTTAGATCGAGACCACACCAACCCTGCAAATAGCATCCCAACCAGACATGCCCCACTACCCAATCCCCGTAACCCTGCTTTCCCATGGCTAATTCACCTAACCTGCACATCTCTGGACACTGGGACAATTTAGACGTACGTTTTGACAAATCAGTATGTGATGGAATACCACCCACCCACCCCAATTTACCTGGATGTGTGCAGCTCCAACAACACTCAATAAGCTCAACACCATCCAGAAGAAAACAGGCCACTTGACTGGCACCACATCTACAAACATCCACTCCCTCCTCCATCAATGCTCAGGAGCAGCAGGTTGTCCCCTGTACAAGATGCACTGCAGAAATTCACCAATGCTCCTTAGACAGTATATTCATGACTTAAATCCATGACCACATCCATCCATCCAGAAGGACAAGGGAAGCAGAAACATAGAAACACCACCGCTATCAAGTTCCCCTCCAAGCCACTCATCGTCCTGACTTGGAAATATATCAGACTCCTTCACCATTGCTGATTCAAGCCCCTCCCTAACAACACTGTGGTTCTACATTACATGCACAATAGTATTTCAAAGAGGCAGCTCACCACCGTCTCAAGGGCAGCTAGGGGAGGGCAATAAATTCTGAACCAGGCATCCACGCCCAGTGAATTGAAAAAGTTAACGAGGAGTGTTGAACCATCAAGAAAGCTTTAAAAAGTAATAATCCCCTTCAACTGCAACTCACTGCTGTCGATGCGAGAAGCACAAAACGTGATGCCACAGTCCACGTTGCTCAGACCCCGCCCTCATTATATTTTACCACAGTCCTTAGAGTCATAGAAATGTACAACACAGATAAACCCTTCTGTCCAACTCGTCCTTGCTGCCCAGATACCCTAAATTAATCCAGTCTCATTTGCCAGCATTTAACCCATACCCCTCTAAACTCTTTCTATCCACATACCCATCCGTGTTCCTTTTCAATATTGTAATTGTTCCAGCCTCCATCGCTTCCTCTGGCAGCTCAGTCCGTACACACACGCCTCTCTCTGCATGTGGGAAAGTTACCCCTTTAGTACAAATTATAGCAGACAAAAACAGGAATTACTGGAGAATCTCAGCAGTGACACTCACGAGAGTGGAAACATTAACGCTGTTTTTCCTCTCTCTCTCTGTCCTGAGAAACAATCCTCACAGTGTGGGGACAGGCCATTTGACCCAACAAGTCCATACCGTCTGAAGAGCACCCCACTCAGACTCATTCCCGTAACCCTGCATTCCCACAGACACGAAACCAATCCAGTTCACTTGCATATCTTTGGATGTGTTGGAGAAAAAGAAACCCGGAGGAAACCCACACAGACAGATACCGGAAGCTGGAATTGAACCCATATCCCTGGCATCGTGAGGCTGTAGCGCTAACCACTACCGTGCAGCTTCGAGTTGAATACAGCTTGTTCCTTGAGCAGTTGCTGTTTTCGTTTGTTCCTGACCCGCAGTATCGGCAGATTGAGTGATCTTTTCCAGACCAACAGCCATCCTTCCTCCTCCTGCCTTTCCATCCCTCTGACCCTGTTCCGCTTGCAGAAACCCCGAAAGATCTCAACAGGCTCCTCCTCTTTCGCTTCCCGTTATATCCCCTGCGGAGCTCAGAAACCGGGTCTGCGGACAGATGAAGACCTTTGCCTTTTCTCTTCTTCGCCTTTTGCAGTTTCTCGCCTGCTCGGCTTCAGGTAAAACCATCTCTAACAGCCTCTTTAAACCGACAACTGGCTGTTTCTATCCGAACCAAACTGAAACAATGACCAAAAAAGGAAAATCCTTGCGCAGAACAAATACTCTGGGAATTGGCAACGCGAAGTCGATGTTTTTTATCTTGAAGCCTGTGTTGTAGCGGCTCAGTATGAGGGAACGGGAACCGGGAATGTTCACGGAGCTGGGATTGGGTTTGTTCAGAGTGACATTTCCACCCAGTTTCAGATTCCGTTCGAGGTCCGTGACTTGTTCCGACGCTAATCCTGCTGTTTTTACACAACCTCCCGGGACAGATTTCTACCTCCCGCCGTGACTTAACACCGTGTTATTGAGGCATGAGTTGAGAGTGTCTCTCAGTTTCCCAGTGTTTACAGCTTGGACCCAGACACTGCCTGGGACCAGGACTGACTGAGAGGGAAACAGGAATGGAACTGGGTGAGGTCACTGTTAAAGCAGAGAACAAGACTCGTTTCAAACAAAAAAAAACACCGAGCCGTTTTGTTTCAGATTGAGTCTCAAGTATTTACGTTCTGCTTTCAAAATAAAGGTTTGTCAAACAGACAGGGAGCTAGGAGGCGAGAGGGATAAAGGGGGTATTTTCAATGATTGCTGTTCGCTGTTGGGATGTGTCAGTCGCTTGTGACTCAGAGTGGAATTCTCTGTCATTGAAATCAGTTAAGGGGAAAACATCGAATGCTTTCGGCAAGGAGTTAGATATAGTTCCCTTGGGGCTAAAGGGATCAAAGGATATGGAGAGAAACTAGGGACAGGGGACTGAGTTGGATGATCAGCTGTAAGCATGTTGAATGGTGAAGCAGGTTGAATGGCCTCGCCCAGGTCCGATTCTCTGTGGTTTCCCATTGCTCTTGAGGCTGCAGTGGTTAGTTGCTTCCTGTTACTGCATTTGGTGCAGAGACACCCACAGTGCTGTTTGGGAGGGAGTTCCAGGGTTTTAACCCAGTGACAATGAAGGAACAACAGTATCAGGATTTTTAATGGAGTTGTAAGCTCACCATCGTCATTTAAAGTTGGTGGGCAGAACCCAATTCCAATGTCCCTGCCATGATTCTTGATGGCCCACTTTTCACTGAATTACAAAAAGTTTGTGAATAGTCAGCTTGACCATGCTTTCCAGACCTAGTCAGATGCATTGTAGAGTTTGGCATATTTTTGCCCCCTCCAATTTTTGTGGAGTCAGTCCATCTTCTCCATGACTTGTGATCCATGGGCCTTCAAAGGAGTTCTGAGCCATAGTCATTATCTTCGTACCTTTGAAAAGGTAACCTGGCACAAAGGAAGATGGTTGTAGCTGTTGGACATCAATCATCCCAGTTCCAGGAAAAGCTCTGCAGCAGTTGAGGTGCAGACGGCAGGGATCCAGTGAATCCTAGAAGAGGGATTCTAGAAGAAGATCCTAAATTGGGGGAAGGCAAATTACGTCAGTACGAGGCAGGAGATAGGGAGTGTTAATTGGGAGGAGCTGTTATCAGGCAAGGCCAGATATGACACGTGGAAATTGATCAAAAGACCTGCTGATGAGAGTTCAGGACTGGCATGTTCCAGTAAGGCAGAAGGACAAAGATGGCAAGGTAAGGGACCCTTGGATAATGAGGGAGGCTGTGAATTTAGTCAAAAGGAAAAATGGAAACATATGTAAGGTTTACACAGCTAAAATTGGACAGGGCCCCTGAGGAATATAAGAAAAGCAAGCAAGTACTCAAGCAGGGAATTAGGAGAGCAAGAAGGGGCCATGAAATGATCTTGGCAAGTAGGCTTAAAGAGAATCCCTGTAGACACATTAAAAACAAGAGGATAACCAGGGGGAAGGTAGGACCACTTGTGCTTGGAGGCAGAGAATGTGGGTGAGACCCTAAATGAGTACTTTGCATCGGTATTCACCCAGGAGTAGGATATGGATGTTAGTGAGATTTGTGTGGAGCATGCTAATAGGCTAGGACATTTTGAAATCAAGTGGTGTTGGCTCTCTTGAAGAGTATAAAGGTGGATAAATCTCCAGGGCCCGAAGGTATCTATCCCAGGTTACTAAGAGAGGCAAGAGAGGAGACTGGTGGAGCCTTGACCAAAATATTTGTTTCCTCATTGGCCACTGAAGTGGTCCTGGAGGATTGGTGAGTAGCTAATGTTGTTCCTCTGGGGATAATCCAGGAAACTACAGACCCATGAGTCTCACATCAGTGGTTAGGAAGCTATTGAAGAGAATTCTAAGGGATAGGATTTATGTACATTTGTAAAAGCATGGCCTAATTGGAACAGTCAGCATTGGCTTTGTGCAGAGCAAGTCATGTCTTACCAACTTCATTGAATTTTTGGAGGATGAGGTGAAGGTGATTAATGAGG